TTTATAGGGTGTAATGTGGAATATTACCATCTGCTCCCAGACACTTCAATTACAAAATCCAGAAATTTCCTCCACAAAAAGGACGGGAGAGAAGCAAGTTGTGTGATACGGAAGTCGCAGCGCCGGATCGCGAGGCGAAACGAGAGCCATCGGAGACGACGCGAGCGCTGTCGGGACGGGACGCGAGCGCGACGGCCGTAAACCGCACCAACGACACGCACTAAAACCCCAGCGCCTAATTAACGACTGGTGGGCGACGGTAGAGGCACGGCAATCCGCGCAACTGCCCGCCCTCGCCGCCTGTTGCGCGGCCTGCGCTCGCGCCTCGACCACTGCCAAGTTGGTACAATTCACCAACTCCACAAAATAAAACCCACCGAAAGCATCAGTCCATTACTGCTTCATAGTAGTAATCCGGACGTTTTACTTTCTCGTCTCACTACGTACATACATATTTACTATGTAAATAGGTTACTACGTACGTATATACATGCGTTACAAGAGAACTCTACCGCGTGAGACTACAGAGCGAAGAGGCTCAGATCAGAGATTAGGAGATAACGCATTCGGGAGGCCCGGGTTCAATCCTCGTGCCGGACAATCTGACCAGGGTTTTCGTGGTTTCCCTCGGGCATCCAGACAAATGCTACGATGGTTCTACTGAAAAGCTACGACCGGGAAACCGCTGTCGCTAACCGAATTTGTTGACTACGTAAAGTCACGACGGTGAAGTGAATTCGAGACATCGCGGGTTCCTGGTTGGGTGACCGACTGGGAATCCCTGGATCTAGCGGCGCCGTGGCAAACTGCCCTTTACCGGATACATAATGTATTAACACAAATACGAACTGTGACCGAAAATCGAGAGTTTTCGATAGAAGAGCTCGTATTGTGGGCCACTTGAGAGAATGGTGCACGACTCATGTTTATGCAAATGTGCAATATTTTTTGGGAGTCTTCCCAAAACTATAATATTGTTTGAATTTATTTTTCTTATAAAGTATTTGTATTTGTATAGGCATGTCAAAAAAAATGGAAAAGCACCGCACGCCACAAACTGTCGAAAATGTCCATGCCTAACACAGGTTTAAAAACCCACACTCCAAGTATCCGCACACCTGCCTCAAACCCTGTCCCACGAGGCCGACCCACTTGAAGATGTATTTGTTAACGTGTTATGTTTTGTAACGTGTGTTTGTACAACAAATTTCTCAAAATTAAATTATTTTTCAGAAAATGTTCAAAAATAAATTATTTATAAAACATCTGAACTAACTCAATGGTTGTTTTCTTTCTAGTAAAGTATACTGAGGGTTATGTTTTTTTTCAAAAATTATGTATACAGTTTTTTCATATTTGCTCAAATTGTTTTCCCCTAATAGTTAAATAGAAATGAGATTTTAATTAAAAGATCAAGAAAGCAAGAAATATTATCATATCCTATTGTGTGAATATTTCGTTAAAAAATGGAGCCGTTTGAGAGAAAATGTCGTTCGGCTTTTTCTGAGAATAACAGATTTTCAATTGAATTCTCGGCTATCCGGCAGATTTTCAATTGATTTACATGCAAAATCTTTGGGATTTTTGATAAATATCATAAGACTTCATTTGAAGTTCTTGTCGACAAGGGCGCTCAGTTCTACAATTAAATTGAACACGTCAGAACTTGGGATGCTGTCGGGCACATTCTTAGGTAAATTTATTAAGGATTTTCGGTCATCAATTTCAAGATTAATAGTAAGACTATATATAAATAGAATCTCATCAAGAACGTGAAGCTCTCTCATACTTTGAGTTAGAGAATGTTGTTTATTTTATTTCATGCCTGGGTTGTCGAGAATCCTATATTGGTCAAACCAAGAGGAAATTACAGCTAATGTTGAAAGTGCACCAAATTAGTATATGGATTATTATACCAGATTTATGTAAAATATCGTAAAGTAAACGGAATCTCGCCTTAATTCGATTTCCTGTCACCGTTTCCAGACAACTCATAATTTTAATTTTCAAGAACCTATAATTTTGAACAGGGATCCTAGGAAATATTCCCCTATTATATCTGATTGTCTACAAATTAAAATACATAACAGGAATTTAGAGTCAAATATTTTTACCTTGTAATAATAATATAACATTTAGAAAAATAAACGATCAAGACAATAAGCAAGGCGTAAAGTTGTTCAAGATCACAACAGCATAATCACCTTAGTTAAACGCATTATTTCAGTTTCAAGAAATTTTTTATATTTGCAGGTACAGGACATGGGTAACCAACTACAGAAGGAATGATATCCTGCGTATAACACATGATTTACGTAAACATTGTAGAAAATGTACTAATCACTTTGAAGACAAACAATTCATGTATACCGTTAAGAATAATTAAAGAATTATTCTTTAATTAAAACTGCGGTTCCAAACGTTTTTCATATCTAACTGCTCAAAAGAGATTTCTCTAAAACAACACCAGCACCAAGGGATACACTTTTCCTGTGTAAACAAGTGATGCTATAGAATGACATAGACTTTCTCGCACTAGTTAGTGTTTTAATCTCTTTAGTTTAGAATATGTAGGTTTTTGGTATTGGCCTACCGTGTTTTTAGCTGCTACCTTCCATCACCTAGAAGATTTGCTCTTAATTCTTCATTCTACAATTGGAATATAACTTTAATAATATCATAGAAGCGTAAAACCTGGTCCTACGTGCAAAGCTCCCTTCAAAGCTTTGGATCTGTTCACGAGAAAATGTCGTTTGAGTGTTTTCGAAAATGTGCAATTCTAAGTTCATTTTCACAAAAAAGTTTTGAGTTTTCGAGAAAGTTCATTATGAATAATTTAAAGCACTTGTTCTCACAAATGCAATAAAGTACAAATTTTCCCGTACTGTAAATATTAACAACGTATGAAAATATGTTTACAAATTGGAAAATTGTTGACAAATTATTGAAAAATAAACAAATCATAACAGCATTTACAGCAGTTTATTCAGTGCATTTATGAAAATCTTCGCAAAAGTTTAAAGAAATCTAGTGGTGCTACAGAATGGTACAGACTTTCACGTATTAGTTTACTATTTCCTTTGGTCTTGGCTAGCTACTCGGACTTGCCAGCTACCATCTATCGCCGCCCAAACTACATTTTTTGACATTTTCTTAATTTTTCGATTTCCTGATTGTAGAGCGGAAATATTATTTTAAGATTATTAAAGAGCAGTAAAACCTCGTACTAAATGGCAATTTTCTTTGAAAAATTTGGAGCCGTTTAAAAAAACTGGCGTTTAAGAGTTACTGGGAAAGTGGACCCAATGTTGAGAGAATGTTCTTTTTTGAAACATTTTTTCTTTCCTCAATAAACCATTCAGCATATAGTTAGGATCTCATTTTTATTTTTTTCGTATTGTTGTAGAACGACAGAAAAACGCGGTTGTTATTTTCCTGAAAAGGAGAGAATACTTGTTCATCAAGATAACATTCCTCTTGTCTATGCAACAATCATTAGATTTCAATCGTTTATTTTCTTAAAAATTGTTAAAAACTATTTCACGTATTTTTTATATTCACTAGGAAATTAAAATATATAACAATTTCCTTTTTCATCAGATTTAGTAGAACGTTGCTATATTATGAATGGTAAGGAAGAGTAGAATGCCTTTGTCGCCGCGCGGATCGCTAGAGTCGCTCACAACCACCTCGACGTGAGGTATTTAAGTGGGATCTGCGCTACTGTATACATACTACGTTTACTGTACGTTTACAGAGGAACAACATACAAAAGAGAAGAATGTGGAACGTTGCAGGACGTGGTGGCGCGCAAAGGGAAGTTGGGTAGGGGCAGTTGAAAGTCATAGAAGGACGGTGGGGCGTCAGATGGGGGAGAAGAGTCGATCGAAATGACGTAAGTAGATGGTGGCGGAGGGGGAGTTTTAATGGTCTGTCTAAAAGGGCACTCGAGGTGTCGTGAAGATTGGGGGACTGAGAATCGCACTGAACTCGCCACCGGTCGCCGGTGCCAGAGAGCCGAGAAAAAATATTGAAGTTTGTTAAAAACTGATTTAACAAGAAACAAAAAAGATTAATTCGAATCATTATCTTAAAAAACACACTAATGCTCTATTTTATATATAATTAACAAATATATTTTGTGTGTATATTCATTTTTTCAATTATATTATGAGTTCTTATCTGATTAAAATGACGTACGAATATTACTTATATACATACATTCACACACACACACACACACACACACACACACATACATACTGATAATAAGATTTGTACAAGATCTATTCTCCATAAAATATTCGAATTTATGATAAGTTATAATTTATGACGCAAGGCTGTACTATCTGAGAGCAACACTAAGATGGAAGCATAAACAAAGCACTGCAGCGAAGTATAACACTGTCATCTTAATGAAAAAAAACAAAAAAAACATGTATGTTTCTTGAAACGATCCGCTGAGTATTTAAGATGCAGTCAACACAATTGTTCCCTGAAATACCCTTTTGCCTACTAGAGCCTGATTTGTATCAGAACTAGATAGATTCTGTTTCTTTCTGAAATCTACTATGATACTCAAGACTATTTGTACACAATCGTGAGATTTTTGTCTTGTTTTTATGGAGTAATAATGCACAAAAATGCTCACTGATAGACATGGGGCGTAACTGTTTCCCCTGAGAAACTTTAGAAAATAAAAAAAATGTTTATGTCTTGGAAATACTGGGAAAATAAAACCCTGTCAAGAGATGAATATTTCAAGTCCGCTATTATGCGAGCAAATATCACTTGGATAAATGTAGATAAAATAATAATATGAGTATTGAACTATGGAAAACAACACTTATTATTGTTCTTAGTAAAACATTTAAAAATAATATATTGTGAGACATTCTGATAGTGAGAAACCTAGTTTTCAATCTGAAAATTTACATCATTTAAGTTGTATAATATTGTACGTTCCTGAAGTGTTTTGTGTATGCATGTTATGTGCCTGGTCACATCGGAGGGCACACCCACCTGTACGCTTGCTCGGCGGGGGCGTAGACGTCCGTGTAGTAGACGTCATCGTAGAGCGTGGTCTGCCGTTCGAGGCTCGGTCTTCGGCCTCCTGCAACAGAGCAACAAACACTGCACACACGCTGACATTGCGCAGACCCCACTCGTAGTTCCCACTCTTATTCACAGCACGCAAGACAATATATTGCATACTTGCATTTAGGCTATCCAGGATGAGCCGAGGTACAGCTCATCCCGGATAGCCAAGAATGTATTGACTCCGGCCGCGGAAGCCTACGAACCCATATCATCTATAATAATATAAACAATAAGAAGAAGCTTTTAAAAAATAACCAAACTGCGCGCTACCTAAATGTTTAAAAAAATTAATATTGAGCTACGAATAAAAAAAATGGAGCCATATAGATTTTTACGTACTTTATATAGCATTTGAAATGCAAGATATAAATACTAATTTATATATACTTTATGGAAGGAAATTTGTCATTTTATACATAAGACAAATGCCTAGTGTCAGTCCTTTTAGATTGTTAGATACTTCATATAGCCTGCGACATTTATTCACGCAGCCAAGACGTATGTAAGCATAATGTAAGCATGTAAGCGTGACATAATATTAGTCGTATCAGTCCGTCGACAGCTGGTAGAAAAACTCAGATACACTATCAAAAAAACAAAATCTGCATTTCATTTCACACAATTGGGTAAAAAGAAACACAAGAAGTTCTAACAGAATTTCAATACTTTTTTGAATTGTTTAAATATATTGTAAAAGTGTCTCTAAGTAACTTTTAAGTATTTGAACATTCTCTAGCATAATTAATGCTAAATATCAACACATGAAAGCTACGTTCACAAACATCGTTGCAAATTTTTTTATATCACTTACGTCACAAAAATCTAAAGTAGTCTAAAGTGGTGAGAAACTAATGAGAAAGTGCAAGAAAATTACGTTTTGTGAATTGGGCGTACGTATAATATAGTGTTGACATTATTTTCACCAAGATATGAAATTTATAGCACACGTTCAATTATTTTTTTTTGAATAATTTTGACGGAGTCGATGTGAGAAAACATATCTAATAGAATTTAACAGTATACGGGAAAAACATGTTTGGCTCGTTTGCTTCATAATTTGCTGTATAATAGAGAAAGCCTTGAATATGCACTGAATCGATGGAGAGCACGGCTAGAAACGAGAAGAAATCTGAATTAATTAGAATGAAGAGTGATAAGATTCTGCGCAATTTGTAAGTGTAATTAACTTTCATTTTGGATGTAAATTCACGCAGTGCTCTGCTCGCATCGCAACCAGTTCCCAAAGCCGTTCACGCACTTCGCGTTCGCAAACGAAGGGCCTTGACCCACTTTTCCAACTTCCACCCCGCTTCCCAAGACAAACCGAGATGACGATGCTGAGCAACTTCCTGTTAGAAAAAACAACTTCGCAAATGCAGAGACTTCGCTAATGAAAGGTCAACCATCTAAATACTGCTGGGGTATGATAACTCCATCATTTAAATATTCAAATTTGCGATTTTTTTTACTTTTTGTCTTTTTTAACCGAGGTACAAAAAACTTTAATATTAAAAAATTGTTTATTGCAGTTTATTAACATTCATTCGTTATCCAAATGTTCGTTTAAAAAGTTACAGACCATGTAGCAACAGAAATTATCTTGGTGTGATTGTATTGAATGGTACAAAGCAAAATATGATTCTAATTACATGTGATGAAGCTCAGACTTTGAGAGGAAGGTATAGGCCGAGGTGTTTCATTCTCACGCGTGAATAAATATTTGCACTCTGAAGGGTCATTATTTTATTTACTGTTCATGAGAAGACAACATGAGACAAGTTACTTTCAGATAATATTTTAGGAGTAATGTGCCTAAATAGAGTTCATATCTTTCTAAATGTGATTGGTTTATATTCATTGTTTAATTATAAATTATATTTCAGCAATTACAGAATCAAACTCCAACTTAGTCTTCTTGACCTCCATTGCAGTCATCAAATCCGAGGTATCTTCTCGAATGTTGAAAACAGAGAAAACATGGGTACTCATAAAAATGAAGATAACAAGATTTGTGATATTTTTCTCTGGCATGTGAAGTTGTGTAGTTCTTAGGTTTGAACCTCTCCACTTTTAATATCTTTTGGGCTGTAATAGTGTGCTTTATAATGTGTTGATGTAGTTCTTATACGACGGGTTTTTAGTAGCAGTTAAACATTAATTAAAAAGTAAATAAACGTGTAGATCAGTGTGCTTATAATATTGTATATTAACATTCGCAAGATTACAGAATTATCGTAGAATGGTTTGAAGCGAATGATTCGTCTTCAACGGGCAGTAGTTTAAATCTGAAGTACTCTTATTTTAAGAGGGCATTTTTTTAGTTAACCGAGCAAATGCAAGTAAAATATCTGTAATTTCAAAAAAAGCTTTATTATTATATTGTGAAATATAAATTTATTATCTTTATTTACAAAAATTAGTAAATGTTTAGATAATCAAAAGCCATTTCAGGTTAGACATTTTTCGCCTGGAGGTAGCTCTGAAAGCAGTACGCAATATTTGTTTAACGATATTATTTAATCACCACTTAGCTGTACAATTGTAAATTGGGAACCCTCAATGCTAATCGGTGGTAACAAACTTTCTCGTGATCTGATATCTACGAAAATAATTGATGTAGCCTATTTTCTGAGCCAACAATTAAAGTAGATCTAAAGAGTATTCTAATGAAATTTTAACAAACTTCTGTCATGTGGAGTTACCATTTTCACAATGAACCTAGATATGAACATAAATTAAATATGCAAGTCATATTAATTATGTCATGGATAATGAAAAAGTGAATGGATAATGAAAATTCAACATGTAAATAATTCATTACAGTTATTTTTCAATTTGCTCTCTTTCACACTAGATTTTGATTTCTAGGATTTTTTAATTAATAATTAAATTTCTAAGTAGTAAAGAAATTGATACATAACGGTTCTTATACCAGCAACTGCACGCAAATTGAACAGGATAGGGAAATTCAACCGTCCCTAAGAAAGGACCCGCAAATTGTGGAGTTAGAAGACCCCTGGTAGATGTGTATAATTAGGTTTAAATGGTTAGTCGATACATGCTTGAGTGTACGTGTGCGTGCGTGAGTGTCTGCGCGCGAGTTCTTTGTCGTGTGCACATGTACCTACGTTTATGTATCTCAGCCGGTGTGGCAGGAGAGTAGTCGTTACGCTGCAGGTGAATTGTTAATTTAAATCAAGGGGCGGCACCGGCCATAAGGAAGTACGCGACATCTTCGGTTCTGATCACTTATTGGTTAACAGCGTAAGGGAGTAATTTAGAGCGTATTTGCCTCCTGACGGCTCATTTGTGCGTCAAAAATGGCATGTTTTCCTACCTTTAATGCAATGGTGAGTTGGTCTAGAGTGGTGGTTGAAAAGAATTAACATGGAAGAAAAGTGGACTATATGTTTTGTGTTGGCTTAATGCCCTATGAAAACATTACACAAAAAAAATATATTGTCCTTCCCAAAAACGCTTTCTGTAATGCAATTTAGTAAGACCATGTCGAAGAATTTTGTGTGGTGTTTTTCTATAATTAAAAACATATAGGGGACTGGAAATGAAGAGATTGCGTCATTTCAGTAACGTTAACAGTATGTTTCCAATTACTATTTTTAAAATAGCTCGTGAAGTCCAAGCAGAAGGAAAAGCAGCATTGATAATATTGAGTCAAAGGACACTAGGATTTATGCAGTTCACGTGAGGAATTTTTCTTCTTTCTTTAATTTAACGTATCACGAAGCAACACTCTCAAAACACTTGTAGAACTCACAGCCTCTCTCTCATTTCCTAGTCTTACAATGTTCGGGATTTAGATTATTGATATTACCAAGACTGGGATTCATATAAATGTTCGCATGCAACTACCACAGATGGGAGATTTACATAACCCCAATCCTCATTTAATCTTTTCAGTTTATTTACTCTTCATCTGAATTGCATATTTCTTTTTACTTCGAAATTTAAATACATCCTGTGTAATGAACATATATGAATATGTTTCTGGAAATTTGAATGCTTGGGTGCTCGAGTGTGTGTACGAGTCACGTTCTGATGCAGTCAAGAAACTATACTTGAGAACATCTTCTCGTACGGGATTGCCAAATAATTAGGACCAAACGCCACATGCATATGAAATTCGTTACAAGCAGATTCGTACTAAATATTCTTTGGAAAATGTTTATCATTTTCGACTGTCCCTCCAGATGATCTAGAATTGTGTGAAATTTACAGAGGTGGCCAAATTATTAGGCTAAATATTTTTCTCTGACTTAACCGATTATGAGTGACAGAGTTCTAAGAAGCACCTGGCGACTAACTCTTTGAAGTGTAATGTTTGTTAATGTTATTGGAAATGTATACACAGTTAATAGTACAATGAGGCATGACCAATACTTAAAGGTCCTAAAGAACCAATGGTTTCGTCACATAAATTAGTTACTTCAAATAAAACAATGACTATGATCTCTATCACAACAGGAAAGAAAGTTGCCAGACATTTTAAAGATATAGAGTAGTGTGGATTCCAAAGGGCTGCAAATAGCCCTTTCAAGAAACCCATCGAAAATGTTCGTTCGATAGTTAAAAGTAACTTAAGAAAAGAAGACCATAAAAACTAGCTCATAAAACAACTCATTCGCATCTCGCAAAATGACAATAAAATTTAAAGAAAGTATTAAAAATTGATTTTCAACATTCCTCAGAACAAGTGTGTTAATTATGAAATGTTTATAAAACATTAGAATCCCGTACACAGTGTGTGTCAATATCTACAGTCGCAAATGCATTTAGTCTTATTCAATTGCTGTAGCCTAATAATTTGGCCACCCCTGTATTTTGAGTCACTGTGTATTTACAAATATAAAGACGCGTTTGCAACCGCACAAGTACTCTTGGCATGGAGAGTTGAGCCGAACCGAAGTGCGAGCCGAATATTGACGGTGCCGTGTGATGGTGGAAGGTCGGGGTGCACAGGTGCCGACGTCTCGAGGAGGGAGGGCGCAGCGTGGCGGGGAGAGCTGGACAGGCCCTTCAAAGGGCTGGAATAGAACAAGGGGAGGGGAAGTGAGAGCGTAGGCTTCCGCGGCCGGAGTCAGTATTTACTAGGCTGTCCGGGTGACGCCGCGTCCATGGCGAAGGTTGGTCGCCATTCTGCGACCTTCCTCCCTTACGCCCTGAGGAAGGTCGCAGAATGGCGACCGAAACGTCGGCACCTTCGCCATGGACGCGGCGTCACCCGTACAGCCTAGTAAATAAGGGGAGGCGAGTTGAGATGGGACGGAGCGGTTTGTGGTGGCAATGGCGGGGATGCCATTTGTTTCAATTTAATCCTATATGTAAGGTCCACTCCTCCTGCCTGTTGATTGTGCGAAATAAATATCTGAGCAACGCTGGGTTGCTTCATCTACATGTAGATGCAGGGGTGTCCAACTTGCAAGGACTCATGAGCCACAACTAAAACATTTAATATGGATGCAGGCCATGGCTTATAAATTATTATTCTAAGTGACAATAAGAAACAATGAAAAGTTTAAAAATAAAACAAAAATGTAGTATTATTTCCTCTTATTGACCGAATACAATTATTTACACCAATAAAAAAGTATTTAATTTGAACATAGTGGTCGATCGACTGCATCCACAAAGCAAGGATTGTTCACATCAAGTTGAGTTATAGACAACTTCATGAGATGACGTAGGAGTCGGTGTATATTTTAAGGACTGCACAGAGAAAAACACATTTTCATATAAATAAATGCTTCAGAAAATTGACTTCATTTTCACTCCAAAACATCGCAAATTTGGGAATCTGTCCTTGCATAGCAATTTGAAAAAAACACTTCACTTTTCTTGTCTGCTGCTCAGTACACTGCTTTTGAGACTTGCAAATTTCTCAGACTTCTTTTCGCAACGACAGCATTTAAAGAAGATTTCTGAATATTTTATCGAAAAACCTTTCGTATGTCACACTATATGGCACCGCGGGCCGCCAGTTGAACATCCATGTAGTAGAAACAAAATGTATCTCACCTCTCGTCCGCTTGGGCGCGCCGTCGGGCAGGTACCGCCCGCTGCCCGGTTCGGGATCCTGTTCCTGCGAGTACGAGCGGGAGAAGGAGCTCGTGCTGTACCAGGCGTCGGGGCTGCAACAGGAGCGGACGCGAGTCACGGACAGGAACTGACACAGCGCACGCTGAGGCGAGCCAAGACAAGGGCTACGGCGGCGACAGCGCACCAAGCAACAACTGCCCGCAGCATCGGCACTGGGAGCTTACAAGCGATTGGGCTTCTTGGCAGAGCCGCAGAAGAAACATACTGCAAAGCGGGAAGATCAAGTTTTCTAGCACAACTGCCATATTCCTGATAATTACAATTTTTCGTACGTACAGAAGGTCATGAGGAGTACATGTTTCAAACTTTTACGGCATGTGGACGGGCTAAGGATGATCCCTTTTATCCAAAGAGCATGGGGTAAGAAAATTCTTATAACGAAATTACACGTGACAAATTTGCTTCTGAATGTTAGATGTAACTTAATGCACTGACGATTGGCTCTGATTTTATGCTCTGATGCAGTCAAAGATATTTCTTTTACCTAATGAAAAGAATCGTATGAGGAGCCAATCCCAATGTCACATGTGTAACTTAGTTACTTGAAATTTCCCCACATGTTCTTTGGCTAAAAACGACCCTCTTTGATCCCTCCTCATGCTCTAGATGTTTTTCACACCTAATCCGACACATTCTGTAAATTTAATTTTCTTTTTACTTTGGAGTAACATAGTAATTTAGGGATTATTCTATATTCTACATTCATTTTGGCCTTTCTCTTTTATAGAAAGCAACCTCAGAAACATTATTATAAAAGGGCATACATTTTAGAATTACAACATAAAATATGCGAAATAAAAAATACAATACAGATATTATAAAGGTAAACTGCAAATTTTAAATTTTTAAGTAGGGTGTACAAATTTGTTCTTTTCTCTATCGAATATTAAATATTTCAAGTTATATTTTGAATGCTTATATGAAAATGACTAAACGACTGTGCCAATGTTGTAATATTTCTATAAAAATTGTGAAGACACATGTAATAAAATTGCTAACAGTTAGCAACAATAACATTCGAATATTCTTCTACAGTTACTACAAGAAAAAACGCGGTACAGTAGTGTAGTTTCTACATATTATAGTGCATCAAAAAGTTTGTGAGATAATCACTGTGATATAAGGTGCATTCTAAATGGAATGTGAACATCTGTGTCGATCTCCGTAATGCATGACTACAGGTGTGCGAATTTCTAAAAATGTGTCGTTTGTGATTAGTGCACTTCCAAGGAATAGCTTGCGCCTAACGTCATCTTTTGCTCGAAATTCATTGAGTCTATTTAACGCGACAGTAGCTTCTTAATAATTATCCAAAGAAAATATTATCCATCGTAGAATAAACTTCTCTTTAATTTTTGTGAAAATATAATATGAAAGAAAAATATTGTTTGCTCTATAACCATAATTTGCATTCGAGAAAAAAGACAGCACAATATCCATACAGTTCTGTTTCTTTGAGATAAATTCAATGCCAATATTATGACAATATTTACCAATATGTGTGAAAAATTAACCCATCGTTCGTGACTCATCCACAAGTCATATTAACCGAAACTCAAAAAAGTTTTTTAAATTTTGATTTATAGAAATATTAATATACATTATTATTATTATTATTATTATTATTATTATTATATTATTATTATATTATATTATATTATTATTATTATTATATTATTATTATTATTATTTATTATTTATTTTTATTTTTTATTATTTATTATTATGTATTTATTATTATTATTATTATCATTAATATTATTGTTCTTTGTCTCAGATGTCATTCTGGTGTTTTCTCTTGAGAGGCTATAGAGACATATCTCAACCAATGCTAGTGTTGATTTAACAGTGCGAACAATTCTACAGTTTCCAGAATGCACGGATTTTGGCTTTAGAAATTATGATAATAGGGTCTAGGCCAACTGCTTCCAAGTATCTCTAACTTTTTGTTTATCAAACCAGTTGCTGTGATTATTATTGGGATTATTTTCACTTAATTGAGTTTATACATTTCTTTATATTCTATTGCAAGTGGGGTGTATTTAGATATTTTTTCAGATTCTGTTTTATTAATAATATTATTATTGTTATTTTAGGTGTCAGAAATAAAAATACATTTTTAATTTGTACTAAACTAATTTTAGGCAGTTAACAACTTTGAATTTCATTTAAGGCTTTTGGGCAAGTAAGAATTTCGGCGATCAGTTTCTAAAATAAGCGCTCATGCTTGGAAGACATTTATTATTGCTGTTGTCGTTTCATATTTAGGATACACTACCAGTGTCACGTCTCGCAATATTGCTTTTCGTACATACATTTCGGTGACTTCAGTGATCCACGACTGGTATGCACAGCAAAAAGAAGAAAAACGATAATTTTTACTGTTGATTTTCGTTCTTAGCACTAAAAGCCGAGATTATCATCACGATTTGTACGCTTTTCAAAGCTGTTTCAAGGAGTATTCAAGCTGTGGCGAAAAGCGCAAGCGTATAAAAGAGCGTGATGATTCATGCAATGGAACACGAGGAAGCATTTCTGCTCGAGCAATTTGCATTCAAAATAGAGCGAAAATGACAAATAATGCATCTCCATTCAGATGAATTACAGCAGGGATTTTAAAAACATCGCAGTACCAGCAAATTAAATTGCGAATTAACATAATTATGTTCAATTATCTACCATTACTGATATTGTGCATTTACTACCTGAACATTCTCAGTAGCTAAGGTGACACAACACGTTATAGATCTAGAATTTTACAAGAACATTTGTTTCTGTAGCAATTTAGTTGTGATTGGAGAGCGTATCATCAGAGCCAAGTTTTCAGTGAAGTCAATGAGTGTATATTTGCAGTTGAAAGATACTCAAGGTAAACACAAGTGAGAAATACAGCAGCTCTATAAAGCGATGCAAAATGCGTGAGGTTGATGGCGGGTGCGGCTTTCGTGAGAACAGCCCCCTGCGAAGAGTGGCGAACTGGCTCGTGGCAGTGCAGCAAGCGGTGGCCGTGCTCTGCGGCGGCTATGGCGGACGCGTCGGCGGCGGCGGAGGCAGCTGCAGTAGGTTGGCTAGCAGGCCGGGCGGCCGGCTTACCTCTCGTCGGTGTCCCATGTTTTGCGGCGCCTGAGACACAGTCGGTTGATAGCGGAGCGGTGCGGGGCGGGCAGAGCGGGGCGAGCGGGGCGGGCAGAGCATGCACACAGAGAGAGCGTGCGCGCGTCACGCCACACTGCCCACCCCAGCACGACTCAAACGCTTCCCCACCGTCAGGCGAACTACAGTGCACTCGCTGCATTGAGTCGCTAGCTCATCCCTTGCCCACCTCCAACATCCGCAATGGAATATTGAGATTTTCCCTCAATATTACGGACGAACAAAGATAAATCAATTCATCACATTGCATTTTATATAAATACTTCCAATTTTTAACATACTAAATTGTTCATTGTTTTATTGTGACATAATGTGTTGATTTTTTTTGTTTTTCCTTGGATGGATGGGAATACATCGGTTCCCGAAACTTCAAGCTACTCAAACTTTTGTTGAAGATCTAATGAAGTTTAAAAATGTAATATGATGCAATGAGTTACCTTTGATTGTCCTTAATATTAAGAAAAAATATCATTATTACTAATTGTCACGAATATATTCATATATAAACGATGTTTGTTTCTTTGTTTGCTGGCCCATTCGTATTAAATTCGCTAGCGCAAAGTTCATCCGATTGCGATAAAACTTTGTCAACTTATTGCTTGCACTTATGGGAATAATATAGGCATAGTACGATGGGAATGTGCATACGCACGTAGACGCGCGTTGATGATTTTATGGTGACTCAAACGTCCCTGTTCAGGCTATCTACGCAACGGCGCTCTACGCAACCAGCAGCACACTGAAGTATTACGTGTTTGCCCCTGCGATTGAAAAATAACGTGAGAGAGAGAAAGAGAGAGAAAGAAAGAGAAAAAGAGAGAAACAGAGAGAGAAAAAAGAGAGATAGACGGACTGACAGAGGGATTCATAGGCAGCCATAGACGCAGAGAGAAGAACAAACAGATACAGAGAAAGATACACACACACACATTATATATATA